GGACTTCGAAATGATGCAACACTTCTCGACGATAGGCCGCCTTGTGCCCTTCTAACTTCATGTCCTCGTCAATCAGGACAGGATTTCGCCACATGGTTTGAGCTGCCGGGGCTTGGCAGGCTAGACACATTCCCAGATACTTGTCTGTGCTGGGCACACGTTCTTTGACGACCGCAGGAACCAATTCTGTTATGGTTCTGAAGGGAACGTTCAGCACGAGCCATTGCCCGAAGAACTTGTCGTTCAGACGAGATACCATTGCGCAGCCTACGATCTTCTCACCGTCCATGGGAACGTCGTTTGCAAATTCCACCAAGGTGCGACTGTCGCCGTCTTCTTGCTGCTGTTTCTTCCATGCGGCTTTGACCCAACCAGCGATCTCGCCTGCCTTGTTTGTTTTGCGCAGGAATTCTAGAACGGTCATGGAGTCGCTTCGCCATGTGGATCGTTCATAGTGGCGCACTTGAACAGGTAATGTCCTTGTATCTGGCACGGGGACTTGAAATGTTGTCTTGCCGCTGCTGTATGTGGAAACCTGCCATTGCCGAAGAATGCTGCCGAAAAGTTGTAACACCATTTCCGGCACGCAAGGCTTGTAGCGGGTCAACACCGATGCTGCAATACTGTTGGCATCGACATCGTCATTCAGTAGCTCGCTGCTGAAAGAATCCGAAAACTTCGGCGCGTAAGCGGCCGTGTACGCTGCGTAGTTTTCCTCGCCGGGGCCATCAATTTGAACGTCTTGATGACATTTTGTAGCTTCCATGAGAGGCGCAAAATATGCACGCACGCCTGCGCGATGGTCGTCTGCGCTGTGATGAATCCTGTAGCTGCCCTCCGTTTGATCGAACTCACTGTCTCCCGTGTGAACTGCGCAAGGGGTCTGACCCCTCCAATCCAATTGGGAGGCTCGTACATATCCGNNTGCTGTGTCACATTGCATGGTTGCGGCTACGGATTTGTGCAGGCACAAGGCTTGCAGCTCGCTTGTTCGATCTTGACGACTGATGTAGTCCAACTGATGACAATGGCATCTCCCGGATCCGTGGTAGTCCTGACTGGGATCTTTTCTCTTGCCATCTTGGAATTCCAACCGCAGAAAGGTTGTCACGTGCGCCGATGAACCGTCTGCCTTTGTACGCTGCAGTAGCTGCTGATCATGTCCTCGTGCGGCTCGCTCTGCTGCTTTGTTTTGACCGGAAACGAAGTTC